AAGCAGCACCTTTTTTTATGAAAGGGCAAGCCATGTGGTCACTATTATTTGTTATTTACCTATGTGTATTTTCAAGCTGAAGAATCTCCAAATATAAACCAAATGTATTTGAACAGTATTTACTAAGCAGCAGAAAAATTATCTCTATGAAAAACCCCAACGATATGAAAAATAAAGGCTCACTCTAAGCAGTGTCTAAAACAGAGTCATTGCACTTATAAATGGCTAATTTTCTTTCTGTGCTTGTTCAATCACTACTTTTTTAAATATTTAAAAAAGTAAATCAGTTTACTAATGGTATGTGAAGTTTTAACATGCTGTCTCACTTTGCAAGGATCAAGTTTATTCTGTATGCCTACATCAAAAGCTGAGATTTATTTACTGAATTAAATCCCATATCCGAATTCCTTATACAGCGAGTTGCCGAATTCCACACAGACAGCCAATTATCCATAGTCTCAACAAATAATTGCTTGAGGTGCTGCATTTTAATGCTCAAAAAAAAAAAAGAATTCTTATTCCAAATGCTTTCCTACGTGCTATATAGTCAAACAATGCTCCTGGGCTGACAATTATTTGGCTCACCAGGTTCTCATTCGAGGCAACCTGGTGTTATCCTAATTAAAAAGTCAGAAGAAAGAAATAGTTGCAGCAATACTGACCAAAAAGCATTCAGGTCAAGGTAGTAGACAAGGGAGCCGTAGAAAGGCTATTAAATAAGGCCATGTGGATGACAGAGACCAATATCAAAAGCATGGGAGTTATCGAATAAGCGGGAGGGTGATGAAAGCATTGATGGCAGAAAAAGCACAGCACTGGTTCAAAGCACATAGTTCATAACTGTGGCAGCCGAGGAGAATATATTGGTTACAGAAAATGCAGGAAGGGGGAAATAAAGTTAGAGGAGGCATCAGCCTTGGGAGAAATGGAGTTGAAATGCTGATTGTCACAATATGAGAACTACACCAGCTACACAATGCTGGAAAAGGAAGCTATGTTTATTTACTGTGTTCTCCCCAAGGAAAATGTCCAAGGAAACTTGAATCCAAAGGGTTGAACAGCTCTTAATGTTAACATCAAAGAAGTCTGAAATGACATACTTATTTCCAGATTCTACAAATCAGATGCTACAGGCCTCATTAAGTCTAAAATTAACTCTCATTTAAATTAAATGCTCTTTTATAGTAAGAAAATGATTGCTGATGTACTGGAATCTTGACCGGAAAGAACTTCAGTAATTGTTTCTTTGATGTGGCTAATATGTAATTTTGAGAGATTGAGCATTTGGTAGCCAGAGAGAGTTGAATGGTCAAAGTTTATTATCAGTGTATATCAAAACAGGTTTTGCTTAATGTATTTTCAGAAAAAAAAGGTGTGAGTTATTTTAAAGATGTATTTGAGCTGACCTACCCAGCTTCTTTGATCTATACCATAGAAATCGGCATGTGTAAATGTGTAATACATTTCACAAATGCATGTTCCTATCAGAAATTTCGTACATTCTCTGGCAGCTGTGAAAAAGCGAGTTAACATCTGATGGAAAATTCTCAGCAAAATACTAAGCTCCTATGATTTAATTTCTTGCTGTCGTCAATCACTAATTGGAATTTTTTTCCCAAAAAAATAATAATCCTTATGCCATCCTTTTATCAAATTCCTAGCATTCAGGAATATTCTTTTCTAAACTCTTTAAGAATGCTATTAACAAAATAATCCCGTAAAGTAGATAAGATGGGAGAGAAAGCCCCAACAGTCAAACTCCTGGCCCATAGGCTGGATGCGTCACACACTGGCCACGCCTGGTTTAGCGAAGGGGGAGGGGAATCCTGATACATCACGTGATGCTACCATGACCACGTGGGTTTGACACCTCTAGTCTAACTCAACCATCACATAAATTGCAGCTTTGTCCTGAACTGATGAAAAGCAACAAGGACAATTGTAGTCCATAGATGTCAGCCTTTTAAGGTAGCCATGTCAGGAAAGAGATACCGCCAGGACTACAGGAACCCTGCTTTATTGTTTTAGGGTGAGTAAGAAAATTGTGAAAGGCTGCTAGCATTTCCCTCTGCCCTCTCTTAAATTAAGCAGAATCAAGGCACAGTTATTTTGGATCTCTTCCTCAAAATAACTTTCTCTGGTGTTTTTCCTCCCTTAAAGGCTCATCCATCCCTTCATCGAGGTCAATTCCACATTCCTTTGAAACAGGTGAGGATTCAACTTAATGGGGGGAAAGGAAGATAAAATAGACTCCAGAAATTTTTGAAGTAAACAGTAAAACCTCTTTAATGGAGTTTCTAAAGAAATCTCTTTCCACCCCACTATGATTGATGACACGTATTTTAAATAAATGGATTTTAAATAGAACTCCCCACTACGAAAAAAGAGGTTGAAGCTACAATGCTCTATAACTGACACACCGTGTTCATATTATCATTTTTAATTCTAGAAGACATGCCATTTAGAATATAAATTTCGTGCCCCTATTTTGCAGTGATGTAAAGAAAACAATGCTGGTGCAGGCAGAGCTCTATCTTTCTTTTAAATAACAGCAGATCTGGAGAAAAAAAATCCATTAATTCAGTTCCCAATACATCATTAAGAAAGAGAAAGTGTAAGGTAACAAAGAAAGGAATTCATGAAAGGTGCAATTAAGATAGTATTGCAGAGGGCAAGCAGGTTTGGCATCAAAACAGTTAAGACAGAGGGCTGACAGTACAAGACTTTAATGCTCCCACAGCTAAGTAGATTGAAAAAAAGAATTCAGAAAGAAATTGTGCAGCTCACTCAGAGCTAAGAGCTCTGCCAAATTCAAAGAATGCCTCAGGCATCCATCCATGAGAGAGGAAAGAGAGCTGAACCCCAAACTATCACTTCAAAAGTTTTTCTGATTGGAAAAAAATGGAAAAAATGGCAAAAATGAGACCCTGGGGGGAAAAAAAGCATTTTCAATGAAGTTCTTCTTAGAACAGGGGTCTGCAACCTTAAACCCTCAGAGAGCCATTTGGACCAGTTTCCCAGAGGAAAAAAAAAACAGCGGGAGCCACAAAACCTGGGTGGGCATGGCCAAATCCATGTCACTCCCACCCAGTCACATGAACCCCTAGCCACGCATACCCAGCAAGTCATTAGGGCGGAGAACCGGTTGTTAAAAAACACAACTCCACAACCCCTCTTCCTCTCTCCCTCTCTCTCTGTATCTTCCCCTCTCTCTCCCTGTATCTCTCTATGCCTATCTCCCTGCCCCTCTCTCCCCCTGTGTATCACTCTCCCCCTTCTCCTCTTCTCTCTATATCTCCCTCTCTATGTCTCTCTCTTTCCCCAGCTTTGTCCAAATTGCAATTTCACTTTGAAAATGGGATTTATCAACATTTTATGACACCAAGAGCAGAAGTATCTCTGTGGAAAGATGGATCACTATCTATGGTAAGCTCCATTATGGGGATAAGTCAGGGAGCTTCTCTATATACTAAACTTAGGACAAAAAAAGTAGTGGGGAACCTGGGATGCTATGGTCCATAGGGTTCGTAAAAAATCAGACATGACTTAGCAACCGAAGAGCAACAGGGGTAAAATTTATTCAAGAAACCTAATGATAATACCTGTCAGTTTATTAAGGCTATGTATTGAAAATTATTCAGCGGTGCTTTGGAACTTGGATAAATACAGGCCTCTGCAAAATCTGAAACCACTTGGCCTAATTACATGAACAACAGAGAATTATCACATTCGCAAGAAAACTTTCCTTTCCTATTATTTTTTCAAAATGTGCAGCACAAATTATAATTTTTATAACATGTCAATTAGTCTATATATGAATTACCCAGCCTACAGTATAAGCTAATAATCAAATAATGCTTTTTTTAAAGATGAAGGGGGGAAAATGTTCAGGAGATCGTGATGCATCATAAATTCAAGTTTGTAGAAGATTCCAGCTATTGTATATAAAGCTCTGCTTATAACACAGAAGACTGTATATTTCCTAGTTTAAGAAATTCTTTTAAGATTGTATATGCTACACAGAGCCGCGGTGGCACAGTGATTAGAGTGCAGTACTGCAGGTTATTTCTGCTGATTGCCAGCTGCCAGCAGTTTGGCAGTTCGATTCTCACTGGCTCAAAGTTGACTCAGCTTCCATCCTTCCGAAGTGGGCAAAATGAAGATTCAGATTGTTGGGGGCAATATGCTGACTCTCCGTAAACCGCTTAGAGAGGCCTGAATGACTCTCCGCTTAGAGGGGGCTGTAAAAGCACTGTGAAGCGGTATATAAGTCTAAGTGCTATTGCTACTGTGATATAATTACACTGACTCTTACACAAACACACACATATACACACACATACACACAGTCACATACACTCTGATCTAATATTACATTTTTCTGAATCTTCCTTGCCTCTCAATTTCAGTCTCAGAATTGTTGCTTTGCAAAAGCAGCTTCTTCCAATTTTCTACCACCAATATTCCCAGAGTATTAGCGCTAAGACAGAATTATGGTCATACCATATACACTTGTGGATAAGGAAAAAAATTTAGATTCCAAAATACACTCCCAAAATTGGAATTGCTTTATCCATGGATGGGGTTTATCCAATAATGAATGTATGTGTGTGTGTGTGTGTGTGTGTGTGTGTGTGTGTGTGTGTGTGTGTGTATATATATATATCTGCAAATAAGCCAACTCAGAGTTAAGCTGACCCTTGAATTTTTAATAAAATACCATGAAAAGTGAACCACCTGTGGATAATTCAGTTGTGAAAAAATTAAACACGAAAATTTTTGATGGCGCTAGCTTATCTGCACATGGCAGAGTTTTCATGGTGTCCAGGCTACAAATGTGAAGGTTGACTTAACAGCGGAGGGGCTTGTCCACAAGCATTTATGGTGTTTTTGTGTTGTGTTATTGTTTTGTCGAAGAAATTCTGGCACTGGCCCTTAGGCAAAGAAAACAACCACATGTCAAGAAAGGCAGAAATTATGGTACATGCATACAATCTTACCTCATTCCTTCAGTTGACCTATTCTGATAATTACGGTAGAGCTGCGGGATACCCACCATGGCTTCAATGAAAACAGCAAGGAAACCCAAGGTTTCAACAAAGATACTGGAGTCAAGGGAAAGGTAAGTGACGCATCCTGTTACCCCAGTGAAAGCCAGAACGCACTGCACATAATCTGCAAACTTGTTCCAGTGCCAGAAAGAGTTCAAGTCAAAATCTGAAAAACAATGTTCATAAATAAATAAAAAACAAAATGGACTGCTTTGCCACTTGCGCTTCTAAAAGAGAGGCGGGGGAGGGAGGGAGGAATACAGGATTATTTGGAAAATTTAAGGAAACCGTCATTAAAAAATGCAAGCTGGCAAATTAACTGAGACCGTAATTTATACAGTTAGATCACTGATAAATCATAATTTTATAACAATAGGGAGAGAAGGTGACATGGAAAAATAAATGCACAACGCAACCCAAATTTAAAACTGCTTTCGTGAAATATTGTAGAGCAAGCGATTACATGAACCATGATCAGGAATATCATTTGTGGCAAAGTCTGACGTTGTGGAGGGAGGGAAATAGACAACAGTTGTCCTACCAACAACTGATGTATCACAAAAGCCACGTTCTGTAACAATCTAGAGCTATCCATTCAGAGAATGACGAAGGACAAGAAAACAGAATCAGAAGACACATTAAATACACACAAGGATCCAACAGCTATGGCCGTGCAACAAAACACAACGCTTCTTTCAAAAGATTTTCACAAGATTCTGAGAATCTCAGAGTTGATTCAAATGAAGAACTTCTTACCTTCTTTACTGATTATACTGTCTAGGCAAGAAAGAAAAGTACATTCTCCCTGTGCTGAGAATATTCATCACATTTCTGGGACTAGAACTTGGGGCAAGGAACAAATCAATATCTATCAATTAAATGGGAGATCTTTAGTCTCAGGGATGGGAGGCCTCACCCTTTTCTTCAGCCATTAAATGATCAGTCGAGAATGATGGGAACTATAGCCATAGGCATTGAAGGTTGGATTCTCTAGGGTAAAGGAAAAGCAAAAACATGTTGAAAACATTGCTTTCTAGGGCCTTGGAATGGTGAGTGAGTGAGTGAGTGAGTGAGTGAGTGAGTGAGTGAGTGAGTGAGTGAGT